GGTCGGTCCTAGGCCCACTCCTCTTCTCCATTTTTATTTCTTCTCTCCCCTCTGCCCTTGCTGACTTCCCCCGTGTCTCACTCAAAATGTTCGCAGATGACGTCAAGTTATACATCTGTTACGCTCGGGGAGAAGAAGATTTCGCTCATACTATGCTACAAAGTGCTATCTCTAGGTTTCACACTTGGGCTTCCACGAGCGGTCTATCCTTTTCGTGCGAAAAATCGCAAATACTCCACTTAGGTGTATGGAATCCTAAATTCACCTACTTCCTGGGCCCCCATCAGCTTTCTTCAGCGTCCCATACCCGCGATCTTGGTATTGTCGTGACCAATCGTCTCACCAACGATCATACCCTCGAGCAACGTTATCTGAAAGCTTCACGCGCCATGTATGCTCTACTCAGAAACCTCAAAATTCGCAACTCGGCTCTTTTGGTTAAATGTTTCAAAGCTTATGTCCTCCCAATAGCCGAATTCGCCTCCCCGATCTGGTCGCCTCGAACCACTTTCTGGCGCGATAAGTTTGAAAGCATACAAAGAATTTTCACTCGCCTTGTGTTCGAACGCTGCCACCTCCCACCCCAGCCCTATCCCCTAAGATGTACTTTCCTAAAGCTAAAGTCTATGCATCATAGACGCGTAGTTTGCGACCTTATGTACGGCTTTAAGATCCTGCACGGACTTTATCATGTTCCTCGGGCCGCCATCTTCACTTTCAAACTAGGCTTTGGGCGCAAATAAGAGGCTTTTATTCCACGTTCCTAAGGCCAGGACTGAATCGCGAAAATCTGCCTTCACCTCCCGAATTACACGCTGGTTCAACCTGCTTCCTCCCGGCATAACAGCTAAGTGTAATCCTAAGTCTTTCCGCAAGCGCATTTCTAAGCTCGACCTCTTTTCTATGCTAAAGCTTAATGCCTAAATTCAAGCCAACCTCTACCCCCGCCCTTTCCCCCTCCCCCCCTCCCTATAATCTACAGCCGTTTCCCCGGCTTTCATTTTTAGATCTTCTACCCCGTCCGAAGTTCTTCTACGTCAATACCTTCCGCCACGAACCGCCAACATCATTACTGAGCTCCTACCGGCACCCCGAAATCACTATCTCACTTTCTACCCAATCATCCACCCATTCCCCCTTCCACTACCCTCTCCCTCCACCACTCCCCACCCACATAAGTTTGGTCGTCCAGTTCAGGTCCCTTTTTATCCCAACAGTTCCTTATCACACCCAGACGTTGGAGGCCTCAACAGGGTAGTACAACTCAGCTGTTGGGATTGTCCTATAAAGGGTCCTTTTCCGGTCTCCCATCTTATCAACCCATACTCTCCTCCCCCTTCATCCACCCCCACGTCTTTTTATCTCGTCATCTATGCCCCTTCCCCATACCCATCCACCACTCCTGTGATTCTTTCATTTTATTTTACAACTTCTACAATATGTGCACTTTCTCCACTATGTGATTCTGACTCTGATTCTTTTACGTTGCTTGCAACAACACTCACGCAATGATAAATAAATAAATAGATCGAAAATTTGTAATCTGGCCATCAAACTGTGCTGAATACAGATTAATAAAATATAAATAAATGCGTAGAGACAAGCGAATCAAGGCTGTCGCGAATCTTCTAAATTGATCATTTTAAATTGAATTATAACGTTCGGAATTTTAACTGTTCTTCAAACCAAGCACTGATATTTCAATAGCATCGGTCGTCCAGGGATTACCCCTTCATGTTTGGTTTTTTAAAATGGAATGCGTTTGGAAAATGGTTCCGAAAAAATAAAAATCTGGTCCCTAAAGCCCCAAAAGCTAACGACCCTAAACGCATTTTTTTACGTTTCGAGACCATATCGGGAATTTTTTCCAGGCGAAGTCGCAATTATTTCTAAAATTTGTAAGCTTCAAACTCGGCAAGGGTTCACCACAGTTCCCGCAGTCGGCCTGACTGGGCAGAATCTGAAGAGTAACTCGGCTAAATTTCAGATGTTTTTTGGACCTACATTACAGCGCTTTCGAACGGGCTCAAACTTCTGCGACTTCGTCCTGTCTTCACTTTCAACAAATGCAAATGTGCCCTTTTGAGTTCTACCGCCAAAAACTTTTCGTGAATAAGAGATTAGGCGTGGGTGAGCCGAGAGCCATCGTATAAGGGGCGCGGAACTCTCATGTTTCCGCTTTCAAGATGCGCCTCAATCTCTGCATTCTACTCCTATTCTTTGCAGCCGTTTCGGCAGTTGAGGTGCGTTGGGTTGACTTATAAAATTTAGAAAACTATAATTTAAATTACATTCGTGTCGATATGGTAGGAATAGAAAGAAAAGGTCAATTTTCAGAGTCGCGTAAAACTTTGCGCCGGGCAGGTATGCGCTGTCGGCTGGTTTTGCTGCATCTCTCACGTGATGGGTAAGAAGAATTTAAGGGTTAACAGCGCTCTCGGCTCCAAAGTTTCCGATTGTAACGTCTTACTGTAAAGTGTTTTTACGGGGGCTAGCTTTTTGGAATGGGACCAAGTCTATCTTGTGTAGAATTTTTTGCTGATTCCGAATCCGTTTTCCAAATTTGGTGCGCGCTTCGCGTTGAAAAGTCATTTCGGGCCGAAATTAAGCTTAAAAACGGTATACATGCGGATGCTGGTCCACCATTTCCTGCCTGGGTCCATGTGTTGCGGTGCCCTTTACCAACCCTCTCGAAGCCCCAGCCTAGTTGGCACAAGGGGTGAATTCGCAAGGTGTTCGCTTGGCAAGCACAGGGCGGCGGTTCGAGCCACGCCCTGCACCGTTACTTTTCCTTTTTGCACAAAAACACATGACTTTTTGCATTGAAGATAACGACAGGTTAAAAAGAAATAGTTAAAAATTTTGGCAATTTTTTTTGGTATAAATGTCGAATAACTTTTTAAATAGATTAAATAGAATAGATTTGGAAGCCAGATTCGGAATCAGCGGACTTGGTCACATCCCAAAACGCCGGGCTGACTAAAAACATTTTTACAGTTAGCTCACGATCACTGAATTGAAAACTCATCCGAAAGCTCTTTAAAACACGAGAAAATCAGCGTTTTTGGTCATTTAATATTAGCTCTGTGAAGTTTACGTCTTTTTAGCCGAAAATTATCAAAGCCGTAGTCATTCGAAAACGACGTCTTAGAAAAACAGGAAAGTTGTGGCAATTTTGGGTTTCCTACGCACTCGAATATTATCGTTCAAAATTCACGTAAAAAGCGCCTGAAAGGACATAGCGAGCCCACATTCAGCAAAAATATCGACCATCAAGCTTTTCATACCCCCTGTTGATAGGTAATGGATGCAGGAAGCAGGGCTGGATCAATGAGATTGGCTGTTGGCTGTGAAGGTGGCTTCAGTTCTATGGAATCTAAATCTACGATGCCTTGGATTCTTTATAATCATGAAAAAGATTTAACCTGTTCTGGTTCACTACTGGTGAGGCTGACAGAATATTGTTAAAATTTTTAAATCAAATTAGAGATTCAAAATTGAAAACGAACGCCCCATAATCAAATTTTATTCGCATTTATTCGTGCGATCATCCTAGGTGTGTTCGGATTAATTTGAAAAACAAGCAACAATATTTATTCGACAAAAACTCCCCTCAAAGCTTCTTGATCATTTCGGTAATCTTCTGCAGATGTGTGTTGTACATACGAGCATGGGGCAAATAGCCCTCAAAGCACTTCTCAAAATCCTCCGCAGCCGCTCGCAGTTCAGCGCACATCTTCGGGCCGTTACGATAGTCGGCTTGACTGGGCACCAGCTCCAGCTTTGCCCCGTTAGTTGTGAGCAGGGCCTTGTGGTTCTCAACGATTTCGGCGTGAATCCCATCTATATTTTTCATTCAGCCTTCATAATTGGTTGTGAGGATGACGCGGGTGGACCCCTCCATCTTGGTCAGTTCTTGCTCCTTTAAGTCGACGCAGTCGTGATCCTTGTGACTGCGGAAGCAGCAGCCAGCACATATCGTTATACCTGCACATTTCGTGCAAGAAAACATATCCGAAATTTCACAGCTGCGCGGGCAATTCTTGCAATTCATCTTCGGTACGCCTTCCTTAAATTCCCCAGGTTGCCGCTCCTCCAATTCATAAACCGGAAACTCGGTCTTAATGGTTTGTAAGTTGCTAGTCTGCAGCGCTTCCCGAATTCGCTTCTGGAACCATTTCCGATGGCCCTGGACGTCGGTCGGGCAGATCGTGCACTTTTTCGGTAGTCTTCCAATGTCACGACATGCCGGGCAGCCGATCATCCGGCACGACATTGGCACTGCTTCGCTGGCCGGAAAATCGATACTGCAGTAGCCGCAGCGGAATAGCCCGTGCTCGAGTCTTGAAAAGTGTTCCTTCCAATCGTCCCCGGCATATCCGTTCACGCGATTGTGGTGGCACACGAACCTTTGATACCTGATGATCAATGTATAAAGATCGCCATGAGCCGCGTGACAGCCATCCATTATCGGGCAACATTTATAATCCGGAATGGCGCCGCACTTTCCACACACCATGTGAAGGCAGATACCGGCATAGGAAGGCTCATACAGTTGTTCATTGTAGGGCTCATCGCACTGACGGCAGGTCCATGGCCCGAGTGGACCAATTGCTTGCCAACCGTCTGACGTTTTCTGAAATACAAAGGATGTCTCTCTCGCTCTCTGCCTCTCTCTCTCTCTCTCTCTCTCTCTCTCTCTCTTCTCTCTATATCACTTTTATGGTGGGTTTTCTATTTTCTAGCTAGGTAGGTACCAAAATTTTCGAAAAAGTATTACTTGATGTTGCAAATTGAAGGCTTTCATAAATTGAATACGGTTGCAGTTATCTCGAGTCCATTACGCACCTAACAAACTTAACGCACCATACTTTGCAAGTCTTTTTATATCCAGATACCCCACCAGAACCTAGTGGCGCAAATTATCTACTAATGGGCACAGAGACACGAGAATTCTTTTTATATTTAACCTTTAAAATCTTCCGGTGAGGCTTCACTCAGCTCAAAAGCACGTTCATCTTCATTTGAAAACAACTTACACGAAGATTGGGCTTTTGCAACATATCGATGATCATCGTCGCGTCGTATTGGGTTGGATCGTAAACCGCTGTGCTTTTTTCAAAGCTAAATCGTGGACTTTGGATTTAGTGTTATATATCATTTGAAAGAACTTTCTTTTTTCTATTAGACACTGGCATTAGTTTATTTTTTACATTCTCGCATTCTTTTACATTCTCCCTTTTATTTCAGTTTTCTCGCAATCAATCGGTTAGAATGAAAATCGTCGCTTTACTGTGAGCTCGATTTTGAGCACGATCGCTAATTATTTTTACAGTTGACCTAATGGCTTCGAAAGAGTTTTTATTCCTCTACCTTTTGATGTAATTAGTTTATTTTTTAGATAGCGTTTCAGTAATTTTTAGCAGATCGAAAAATTCATCAAAATGAGCCCTTCCTTCACTTGCCAATTTATGCGTTAAAAACAATTATTTAGCACACCCCAAGCGCGTGCCCGACTTTTTTGTCTATTGAGAAGAAACTACAACGTTCAAAATCAAGCAGAACTGTCTTCAAATTTTCATGGAAAAACATCATCCAAGGAGAACTACTGTCTGGTGCGATAATTTGAGCCCGGGTTTAGCGTAGACGAATCCATAAACCTGTTAATCTTTGGCAGCACGTTGTAGTCCTACTGGGTGAGTACATAATAGATCAAATTAAATTGGTTCCCCGAAATCCATGCAAAAGTAACGCCTATAAAATTAACGGCTATTGGAGCCTTGTAGAACAAAAATGCTCTTTCGAATGGTATATAGGACACAGCAAAAAAGTTCAGATTTCCGCGCGAAAATTGAGCTCGAAAATACGCAGAGACTTACGTTCCAGCCCAATAATATGTTGGGCCGGGCAGGCACGTCCGGCATTTCAGCGAACTTTCGGAATACACTGGCGCCTTCGCACCGTTTGGATCAACATCGAATGCTCCCCCACAAGTCATGCAATCAAAAGCCTTGATGCGCATTGCGACGGCTTTCTAAAAATCAGCGTAAATCTAACGCCTCTCATATTGAAAGGTAGGGTTGGAAAGTAGTAATGCAATGGAAAAAGCAAGAAAGTTTTCACATTTCTTTTCCTCGATAAAGCTGAAGATTTAAATTTGTTTGAAGCGTGAATGTCGGTAAAATATTCAGGTAAAAGCATGTTAGCAATTCTTGCAGCCAGTATTCAAATTTGCGTAAGATACGCTATAGATTGTTTTGTTTGAGATTTTGGAAGAATTGTCGGAGTCCAAATTTGCGACGCTTTCAAACGAGGTTATACAGGGTGGTCCATAAGTATTGTCGCGCCTTTTGGCCGGCTGTATCTAACCGGGGCCGTGTGTGGTCGGCTAGTTAAGCGTATGCCTTATGCAGTTTTTTCTCCTCTATCCGATGGTAAGATAGGTTGCACGATCATTTTGAGATTTGGAGCTTATAGCACATAATTTCTAGTGAACCTCCAAATTTCAGCTTAAAAATGGCTTTTGAGAGGCTCCGCTGGCGACAAAACAATTATGTATTTACTAAATTTGCCTTGACAATTAAAAGAGCAAGTAAAACTCTGCTAGCAGAACCTCCAAACAAAAATTTTCGCACCTCCGTTTTTGAGCAAGCGCTATTCAAAGTTTCGGGGAACCCGGTGCGCCGCCCTCGGCCTACCCCGTATGTAAAACTGAGATCGTGGCTGCTAGAAAGCTGAGAAAACGGTGACAATTTTTTTGGCGATAACTAAGGCTTCTTTTCAACTATTCCCAAATTTTAGGCGCCGAGTTCCACATGCAGTTCAAGAAAATCGAGAATTTTGTCTAATGGCATGCGCCACCCAAATTTAGTTCAAATCAAAGTCTGAAAAGTGACAAGAGCCTAGCCCAATATGCCATGGGAAGAGGACGTCAGGTAGCATAGTAATAGCATATAGAATTGCCCCCCGGGTAGCCCTGGGAAGAAATAAAACTTCGAAAACTAAAAAATGACAGGATGCCCTAAATTTGCGGATTTTCGTCCGAACATTGCGGAGGCCATAGCTCCTTCTAGCGACAAGCTGGTTAAATTTCCATTTGGGAAGATGCAGAACAATGCTGAAGCTACCATAAACACGCTCGAAAAAACAGCCTGACTCTCAATCGCCGGATTTAGAGCCCTTCTTCCCGAAATTTTGGCGCGGCGCGCCCCAACCTTTTGTCGCCCACTTTAAGCAAATTATCTCACTTAGAAACCATTATTCCAAAAAACTTTCTAAAGCAAAGTGGTTTCTAAGGCTTGTCTGAAGCTAACCTACTTGGCTAAATGGCTCGAATCGCTCAGTGGGAAAAGATATGACGCCTTGAAAAACGACAATACTTATGGACCACCCTGTACATGTTAATCCTAAGCAAAATTGATGGATAAATGAGAAAAGACATGTATTACGAGAGGGCAAAAAAGCGGCTTCCATGAAATTACTTCTAAATTCATTGCTCCTAAAAGTCACTACTTCTAAAATCCTTAGCGTCGATTTTCGAATAAAATTTGGCCAAATGTGCCGAAAAATTGATAATCCGACGTACTAACTTTTAGAAGTAACGGGTTTAGTAGTATTGATTATTCGAAGTAATACCTTTTAGAAGTAATGAGCGTCCCCGAAAAAAGCAACTCAGAAGAAGGAGAGGAAAACGCGTACTTGCCCGGAAATTAGGCAAGCAAAATAACCAGCCGATCGGGGTTGCTTACGCCATGAAAATAGATTGGAGCGGCACCCCCGGCGATCGATCTCCCCCTGGGCAATCGGACCAAAATACCCCCGTAACGCTGAGTTATGCGACCTGGTTAAAGTTGTTTTGAACGGGCGAATCTGGCTAACTAAAATTTGCAAAAAAATCTTACCCAACAGGCCATGTAAATTGAATCATTATGGCATGCATTTAAGTTTTTTTGAAAATCGACCAACAACATTTATTCAGAAGCCACGCATTTAGCAACAAATTTTTCGACTTTTTCCTTCAGATTCTGCAGATTGGTCCCATACATCCTGGC